TCAAGAAGTATCTCAGGGGAATTCTGGGAGTCGAGGTCCATCTTAAACTTGGCAAGGTGGAGAAACACTTGAGACTCTAGCACACGGCTCTTCAAACTTGGCAAGTTTAAGGCTTGTGGACTTCAACTCCCAGAATTCCTCAACTAACATGACTGGAGGAGGAATTCTGGGAGTTGAAGTCCACAAGTCATAAAGCTATCAAGTTTGAAGACCACCACCCCGCCCGCTTCTCAAGAAGGTCTTCTACAACAGGGTGAAGCATGGTGGACGCAGATAAACACTGGGTTCAGTCTGCTTTAGGAGGAAGGTTTTAGCAGGAAGCCATGTAGACTTTGGGGCAAACAATTTGTCCATTGAAGTCTCCATCTGTCCTCATTAGGCAGCTGCAACTTTCAAGAGATGGCCCTCTGTGAAATCTGCAAGGCTATCAACAAGGTCTACTCCATGTCCCCAAATTCTTTCTTTCCTTCCTTGCCTTTTCTCAAAATTGCAACTGGGGGACACCTCCGAACCGCCTACCTTCTGCTGAAGTTCCAGAAAGCACACACTGCTTCTACAAGCTGGTCTGCTAAAGCCTACGGAGAAAGAAAGTTCAGAAAGTTAGAGAAAGAAGTTAAAGAAAGTGAGAGAATGCCTTTGTGGCAAGGGAATCGTGGAGAGATGCTGGCCAGGCGAGGTCTCATCCTGACCCGAAAATGCTCGGCTGTGGGTTTCTTGGAAGTTCTCCTTCGCAAAGCCTTGGCTTCATCTTGATAAGTTGACCGGATGGCACCAGCCGTAGATTTCCCCTAAATCTCCCTGCTGTTTTTGGGTTATACGCGAAGGAAAAGGTCTTGTTTTAATTCATGAAGGCGGCCGTGCTCCTTTCAACCACAAACTAAGGCCCACGGTGCCCCTTCCTTGAAGTTTGGGGTGACCTTCTAAACAGGATGTTGGTGTTTCGTTTAAAGAAAAAAATGCCAGGGACGTGCTGATCTTGAGAAGCTCAAAAAAAGCCTGGATTGTGGATTCTGGATGCTGACCTTCCATTCCCCACCCAGGGTTGGGCTTCTGCGTGGGCCCTGCACTTACCTGCATCCAAAATGGGCCTCGTGGGGGGCTCCAGAGAGGGGAGGGGAGGGGTAGGCAGGGCCAGCCAAGGAGTGAGATTTGGGGGTGCACAGAATCTTAGCTAGGGGCTCTTCCCAAACCCCTGCCAATCCCCCCAGCAGCCCATCCCTGCCACTAGTCCAATCAGAGCTGAAGAAGCTTCTTGGATCAGAAGCAACATGTCTTCAAGGAAAAACAAAGGAAGTCCAGTTACCTCTTGGGAAAAGTACCTTTTGGACTGAAGGTCTCTGCGGATTATCCGTCATGGTTTTATCCCAAAGATGACCTTTTTTCCAAGAGGTAACTGGACCTTCTTTGTTTCACTTCAAGGAAACACGGTCCTTGGTGGAAGAAAATGGACCAGCCTGAGGTCCTTTCGGAACCCCTTTCCCACGTTCCTTTTCTCCTACCTTCCCCCACAGCTTCCTCCCTTTTTTCTCCAAAGCCCTCCTCACCTGAACCCGGTGCCGGAGACGGTACCGCACGGACGTGCTGATTTCCTCATAGTTGCTGACCAAGCTGGAGGAGATGATGGAAGAGGCCACTTGGGTGCTCAAATGCCTAAGGAGGAAGATGGCAGGCTGGGTGGCAGCTTCTGCGCCCCCACCAGCAGAAGAAGGGAGAACAGGGACATTAGGGGAAAATTGGGGAAGGGGCCCGATGTTTCTCACCCCACCCCACCCCCAGAAGCTCCCCAGAAACCTGCAGGACCCCATCTTGTACGTCAATCAACTCTTAATCACCCATCCCATCTTCTTAACGGAGGGAGGAATAACAGGGTGTAAAGGGGGGCTGAAGGGCCTCTAGTCCTACCCCGTGGTCAAGCAGGAGAGTCCCTCCTGTGATGGCAAACCTAGGACATGCGTGGCAGAAGTAGCACGCAGAGCCACCTCTCCACCCATTGCTCTTCTGGGTTCCAGGGCACAGTTGGTCTTCATGCGGTCTAGTCTCCATTGATGGAGCACCCACAAAGCAAGCCATTCTTCTGGTTCAATCAATCAATCAGAGTAGAGCTGGAAGGCCTCTAGTCCAGCCCTACACCACTTCAGACCAATGGTTGTCCAATCTCTTCTTTAAAAACTTCCAGGGTTGGAGCATTTAAAACTTCTGGAGGCAAGGAGTTCCACTGGTTAATTGTTCTAACTATCAGGAAAATTCTCTTGTTTCTAGGCTGCTTCTCTCCTTGGTTAGTTTCCATCCATTGTTTCTTGTCCTGCCCTCAAGGTGCTTTGGGGAATAGCTTGACTCCCTCTTCTTTGGGGCAACCCCTGAGATATTGGAAGGCTGCTGTCGTGTGATGTCTAGTCCTTCTTTTCATTAGACTAGACAGACCCAGTTCCTGCAACCGTTTTTTTTTTCCTTCATGTTTTAATCTCCAGGCCTCTAATCATCTTAATTGCTCTTCTTCACAACTAAAACGATGAAAGACCCAGAGACTAAACAGTAAAAACGAAGCAAACTGAAAAGGTTAATCAGATTGGGGAGGCCCGTTCAATTCACCCTTAGGCAGAATTAAATCTCCCAACAAAAGTTGGAGATTTCACAGTAATTTGTCCTCTCTTGTCCTTTTTTTTCCTAGCAATTGGGGGTTTTTGTTTTTTTGGGGGGGGGGGGGGAGGCGGGGAGGGAGAGAAGGTGGGATTTTAAAAGGTAACAGTGCCCTCTTGTGCCCAGCCGTGAGAAAATATGACACTATGGGTCAAACTCAAGATTCAAATAGATCTTGACAAACTTGAACAAGGGGCCCTACGCAACAAAATGAATTTCAATGTGGAGAAAAGCAACGTTTTACATGTAGGCAGGAAAAATCAAAGGTATAAATATGGATTAGGCTCCAAAACAGTAACTGTGAGAGGGATCTTGGAGTCCTAGTGGATGATCGCTTGAATATGAGCCAGCCATGTGCAGCAGCAGCCAAAAAAGCCACCACAGTCCTTGGTTGTATAGACAGAGGCATAGAATCAATATCACATAAACTGTTAGTACCGCTTTATAAAACCTGAGTAAGGCCACACCTGGAATGTTGCAACCAGTTTTGGTCACCACGTTACAAAAAAAAAACAAAAAAAGATGTTGAGACTTTGGAACAAGTGCAGAGAAGAGCAACTAAGAGGATTAAAGGCCTGGAGACAAAAAGATATGAAGAAGGGCTGCAGGATTTGGGTCTGGCTAGTCTGAAGAAAAGAAGAATTAAGGGGTGACAGGATAGCAGCATTCCAGTATTTGAGGGGCTGCCACAAAGAAGAGGGAGGGTCAACTTATTCTCCAAAGCACCAGAAGAGAAAACAAGAAACAAGGGATGGAAATTAATCAAGGAGAGAAGCAACTTGGAATGAAGGAGAAACTTCCGAACTGGGAGGACAATGAACCAGTGGAACTGCTTGCCACCAGAAATGGTGGGTGCTTCATCACTGAAGGTTTTAAAGAAGAGATTGGACCACTATTTGTTTGAAATGGTATAGGTCTCTTGCTTGAGCAGGGGGCTGGACTAGAAGACCTCCAAGGTCCCTCCCGGCTCATTCATTCTTTTTTTTTTTTAAAGCAACAGCGCCCTCTTGTGCCCACCAGCGAGAAAGACAAGCCCACCCCCAAGGGCGGTTTGGGCAAGACGGGTCTTCCTCCAAAGTTGCCAGGTGAGGAGAAAGCCTCGCAGGTAATCCCACCATCAGGAAAATTGGGAGGGGAAGCTCCGCCAACCTCTCCTGAATGGAGTTGGGAGGCTCGGATTGTTGTGAATTTGATGGACGTTGAGACTCTGAGGGGAAGAAATGCCGAGAAGAGCAACGAAGATGATTAAAAGGCCTGCAGACTAAAACACAACGAGAACGGTTACAGGATTTGGGTCTGGCTAAGTCTAGAGAAAAGAAGAATGAGCTGGTGGCGCAGAAGAAACTCAAGGCGAGAAGATGGGAGGTCCAAGCAGGAGACTAATGAAGGCCCGTTGAAGTCCACCTGATAGCAGTCTTCCAGGATTTGAGGGGCTGCCACAAAGAAGAGGGGGTCAAATTATTCCCCAAAGCACCAGAGAGCAGGCCAAGAAACAATGGATGGAAAGTTATCCAGGACAGAAGCAACCTGGAATTAAGGAGACACTTCCTAACAGTGCGGACAATTAACCAGTGGAACGACTTGCCTCCAGAACTTGTAGCTGCTCCATCACTGGAGGTTTTTAAGAAGAGACTGGACAGCGGCTTGTCTGAAATGGTATATAGGCTCTCCTGCTTGATTGCAGGGGGCTGGACTAGAAGACCTCCGAGGTCCTTTCCAGCTCTATTTTGATGGATTGATTGACTGAGGATTGGAACCTCCCCACACCCCAAATTGGATGCTGTATCCACGCACGGTGGATGGAAGTGAAAAACGATGGGCCGAATGATGCTGTTCGGTTCCCTTCCAAAACCAAGGAATCCGTGTGGTGAGGGACCCACCTCCGTCCTCCGTCGGACACAGCGGCGTCTTTGAACACAGCACTGCTGCTGGCGAGAAGGTGCTGGAGGGCTCCATAGCTGTACCAAGTATGGGTGAGGGTGATTTGACGCAGGCCTGGAGAAAGGTAGAAGACGGGAAGTCAAGAGCTGGTGGTGCAGAAGCTCAAGGCGAGAAGATGGGAGGTCCAAGCAGAAGGCTAATCAAGGCCCGTTGAAGTCCACCTGGTCCTTTCCTTCTCGTTCCCCCCCGCCCCCCGTTTAATTTTGAGGGCTCTCTGAGCTTGGTGGTCTTCTGGCGGACGTTTCATCACCCAAACTAGGGAACATCATCAGTGCTAGAAGGAACTGTATATAAGCATAGAGACAAACCGACTCTCTCTTGTAGCACTGATGATGTACCCTAATCCAGTGATCCCCAACCTTTTTTATGGCGCGGCCCGGTACCGGCATTAGCTGGGCGCCACCATCTTTTTTTGATGAAAAAGTGCTTCCGGTGAGCTTTCTACCCGGAAAAGCTCACCGGAAGCACTTTTTCATCAAAAAAAGATGGCGGCGCCCAGCAAACCAGCGGCCCGGTAGGACTTGTTCCACAGACCGGTACCGGTCCGCGGACCGGTGGTTGGGGACCCCTGCCCTAATCGGATAATGAAATGTTTGCAAGAAAACAATCAAGCTCCAAGAACACCAAGGACCCCACAGTCCAACTCTCCTCCTCCTCCTCCTCCTCCTCCTCTTCCTCCTCCTCCATAAAGTCCACTTCCTTCTAACACGGATGAAGTAACCTAATTGGGTAATGAAACGTCTGCAAGGAAATTACTCAGAGCATCAAGGACCCCACAGTCATTCTCTTCCTCCCCCCACCTCTTCCATAAAGCCCACTCCCTTCTAAAACTGAGGAAGTAACCTAATTGGGTAATGAAACGTCTGCAAGGAAATTACTCAGAGTGCATCAAAGACCCCATAGCCCAACTCCTCCTCCTCCTCCTGCCCCCTCCATAAAGTCCACTCCCTTCCAACACTGATGCAGTAACCTTGTTGGGTCATGAAACGTCTGCAAGAAAACTACCAAACTCAGAGAGCACCAAGGACCCCCTCGTTTCATTATTATTATTATCGTTATTATCGTTATTATTGTTATTATTGTTATTATTATTATTATTATTTATTATCTTTATTGTCAGAATATATGTGTACAATTAGATTGGCTGAGCCTCCTTTCATGCACCCCCACACACACAACTCACAGTGAGGACAGAAGCCCCTAACCCTGTCCCAATCTTATTATATTATGTAACCTTGTTGCCCAATGCGCCAGCTCTGCAAGTCTGTCATACTATGTTGACATCAAGTTATTTTCCATTCAGAAGTCTGACAGCCCTGAACTACAAATATTTATTGGTACCTGTTAATTTTTTCTGGAGTTCTTCCATTCTAAGTGTCTCCTTTGGACCTCTTCAAAACAGCCCTTGTAGATTTTTTTTTCTGGCACAAAGTTTCAAACAGAAGGGAGGACATTTTGGAGAACCTACCTGCCCTTGTCCGTGACCTTACCTTTCACTCTCAGGCGCTCCAGTTCCTCTGCTGGGATCTCAATCGCATCCAGCTGGTCCCAGCGGTGGGTTGGCATCAGGGAGGCCCCCCCGCCAGCTCTCTCTGGGCCCAGCTCTGCCCGTCGCACCTCGATCCCTGGAAGCAGGGAGACCCAACGTTGGGCATGCACGTTGGGCACGCATGGAAGGACCCCCATAATATTTCTACACGAGGCTGCTCAAGGGCCTTGCAAGGGGTTCCTCTCCATGCTGAGAAAAATAAGGGGCACCTTGCACCCTGCGTAGAAATGGCGCCTGCCTAAGTTAAATTAATTTTGAAATATTTTATGAGAGCCATGAAAAACACGTAAGGGAAGACATGAGAAGAAGCACCCTCTTGTGGCCACTGACCAAAAGAGCATCCAAAGCATCTAGAGATGCGGGACCAAGGATGAATAGAGTAGAGTAGAGTAGAGTAGAGTAGAGTAGAGTAGAGTAGAGTAGAGTAGAATAGAATAGAGTAGAACAGAATAGAACAAAACAGAATAATGGAATAGGAATAGGAATAGAATAAATAGAATGGAATGGAATGGAATGGAATAGAATGGAATTGGAATAGAACAGAATAATAGAATAGGAATAGGAATAGGAATAGAATAGAATAGAATAGAATAGAATAGAATAGAATAGAATAGAATAGAATAGAATAGAATTATAGAGTAGAATTTCAGAATACAGTAGAATTACAGAACAGAATTAAAGAATAGAATTACAGTAGAATAGAATTACAGTAGAATTACAGAATAGAACAGAATTGCAGAATAGAACAGAATTACAGAATAGAATAGAATAAAATTACAGAATAGAATAGAAGGGAATAGAATTACAGAACAGAAAAGAAAAGAAATAGAATAGAATAGAACAGAACAGAACAGAATAGGAATAGGAATAGGAATAGGAATAGGAATAGGAATAGGAATAGAATAGAATAGAATAATAGAGCTGGAAGGGACCACGGAGGTCTTCTAGTCCAGCCCCCTGCTCAAGCAGGAGAACCTATACTATTTCAGACAAGTGGCCATCCAGTCTCTTCTTAAAAACCTCCAGTGATGAAGCACCCACCATTTCTGGTGGCAAGCAGTTCCACTGGTTAATTTTCCTCACAGTTAGGAAGTTTCTCCTTAATTCCAGGTTGTTTCTCCCTTTGTTTAGTTTCCAGCTATTATTTCTTGTCCTGCTCTCTGGGGATCCTTGGGGATGATGGAGGATACCCCAGATGAGAAGGAGCCGCCCTTAGATGACCTACGAGGTCCCTTCCATCTCTCTGAATCGGTTAAAACCACCGATTCCAGCATTGTGTGCTAGATCAGCATTTCTCAACCTCTTGTCCTTTTAAGAAGGGGACTTCAACTCCCAGAATTCCCTGAGAGGGAAAAAGGTCCTCTAATAACACCCCCAGGAAAACCTTCTTCGACCCAAACATTTGCACGGGACCAAGGACGTGGCCCATAACAGGGAGGGCAAAGCGTTTGGTCTCACTTACCGATATTCTTACTGTGAAATGTGACTTTCACCCTTTCGGGGCTCAGGAGCTGATGGAGGCTGGAAGCCATCTTGTCCACATTTTCCACCACCGTCATGGGTCCCCCGATGATCTGGAGAAGACAGGAACAGTTGGAAGAGGGTCACCTCAGCTTTCGTATCTCAGTTGCCAGCTAGATCAAAACTCCACGCAAAGCATAATCCTGGTCAGTGGTTGGGCAGAAATCTGTCAGATCTAGGGGCTGTGAAAATATCTACAGACCCCTCACATCCCGGACAAAAACTGTTTCAACTCCTTCCCTCAAAACGACACTAAAGAGCCCTGCACACCAGAACAACTAGACACAAGGGGATTTTTTCCCAGAACGCCATCGCTCTGCTAAACAAATAATTCCCTCAACACCGTCCAACTATTTGCAACGTCTGCACTACTGTTATTCTTCTCATCCTTCCTTTTACCTATTTCTTTTTCTACTTATGACTATAACCTGGTTGCTTGTATCTTTACAATTTATATTGTTTTATTTAGTTTCCTTGTATGATTTTGATTGCTTGTTTAATATCCTATGACTATCACTAAGTGTTGCATCTTAGGATTCTTGATGAATACATTTATGACAATTATGATCATAATATATCACTTATAGTTTTTATGAACACTGAGAGCTTATACACCGAAGACAAATTCCTTGTGTGTCCAATCACATTTGGCCAATAAAGAATTCTATTCTATTCTATTCTATTCTATTCTATTCTATTCTATTCTATTCTATTCTATTCTATTCCTAGTTCTGTTCTGTTCTGTTCTAATCTTTCTCTTCTTCTCTCCTCTTCTATTCTATTTTATTCCCTCCCATATTCTCTTCTCCTCTCCCCTCCCCTTCCATCTTCTCTTCTCTTCTCTTCTCTTCTCTTCTCTTCTCTTCCTAGTTCTGTTCTGTTCTGTTCTAATCTTTCTCTTCTTCTCTCCTCTTCTATTCTATTTTATTCCCTCCCATATTCTCTTCTCTTCTGTTCTCTTCCCTTCCCTTCTCTTCTCTTCTATTCCTAGTTCTGTTCTGTTCTAATCTTTCTCTTCTTCTCTCTTCTATTCTATTTTATTCCCTCCCATATTCTCGTCTCTTCTCCTCTCTCCTCCCATTCCATCTTCTCTTCTCTTCTCTTCTATTCCTAGTTCTGTTCTGTTCTAATCTTTCTCTTCTTCTCTCCTCTTCTATTCTATTTTATTCCCTCCCATATTCTCCTCTCCTCTCCCCTCCCCTTCCATCTTCTCTTCTCTTCTCTTCTATTCCTAGTTCTGTTCTGTTCTAATCTTTCTCTTTTTCTCTCCTCTTCTATTCTATTTTATTCCCTCCTATATTCTCTTCTCTTCTCTTCTCTTCTCTTCTCTTCTCTTCTCTTCTCTTCTCTTCTCTTCTCTTCTCTTCCTAGTTCTGTTCTGTTCTGCTCTAATCTTTCTCTTCTCTTCTCTCCTCTTCTATTCTATTTTATTCCCTCCCATATTCTCTTCTCTTCTCCTCTCCCCTCCCCTTCCATCTTCTCTTCTCTT